TGCCCAGCGCCTGCAGGAGGCTGAGGAATCCATTGAGGCTGTGAACTCCAAGTGTGCCTCACTGGAGAAGACCAAGCAGAGGCTGCAGGGTGAGGTGGAGGACCTCATGATTGATGTGGAGAGAGCTAATTCTCTGGCTGCCAACCTTGACAAGAAGCAGAGGAACTTTGATAAAGTAAAGTTTTAAACATAACCAATATCATCAGAATAATCATACACGTATAATAACAACCAAGTAATTAACCTACATTAACATAGGTCCTGGCAGAATTTAAGTTCCTAAATTCTTTCTTCCTCAGCTGTCAATAACAGTTTGTTATCTATGCAGACTGAGGAGGACAAGAAGAATGTGGTGAGACTTCAGGATCTGGTGGACAAGCTGCAGTTCAAAGTCAAGGCTTACAAGAGACAGGCTGAGGAGGCTGTGAGTAAAATGTTTAGTGATTTTACATATGGAATGCATAACTTTATAAATGACATATATTTAGCATATATGACCAGATATTTAAAAAAAACAACAACAACATATTGTCACACTGTACAGGAAGAACAGGCCAACACCCACATGTCCAGACTGAGAAAGGTCCAGCATGAGATGGAGGAAGCTCAGGAGATATTTTTATGCCCTGTGTAAATTTCAATCCAGCTATATAAATTGAGATGAGACAAATTCTCCAAACGTTTTTAATATATGTTGAATAAGTCTTTTTCATTTCGTCTTTCTTCCAGGGCGAAAGTGCTGAATAATGGACATCCTCTGAAACTTTTTGACGGCATTCATAAAATATGAACTACCTGTTGAATTGACTTCTCATGATGTACTGATTTAATAAACTCTTTGACTATGATTTAATGATATTTATTCAGTATCATTTACTCTGCATTCTGTAAAAGTTCAATTGGAAAATACAATGTTCAACACAGTAGTTTCTTTAGAATTGATGATTTATGATTTATAGCTACAGGACATTGCCCTTTCATATGGGGACAGTGCTTCTTCTTAGTGTTCTCCCTAGCTTTCAGCATTAGTCATGGCATGGTTAGATTAATATTTTTAAAAAATGAGGTTCATATTAACACAAATTCAATCAGGCATCTTCAAATTAAACTGAAGATGCCTGATTTTGACTTCTTAATTCTATCTATTTACAGTTATAAAAATATTCCTTGAGATACAGCAGTATATAAAGGCTGATAATAAAAGGTCCAAATGTATGTTATTACCAAACTTTGATAAGGACATTAGGTAGAAGTGTCAAAATAAGACCCCACAGTTACAGTAACTTTTGAGAAACGTACATAAAAAAGACAGACTGAAATCTGTAGTTAGCATTTTATAGTTTAATTTTGAGGCAGTTCAAGTGTGGACACAAAGCTATGCCACTGATATAATACTGTTATAAACCTAATATAGCCTCCGTTTATACAGTTAATTCTCTCTAATTCACTAATTTGTTTTGACAACTATCAGTAAGATTGTCATGCCATACTACATTGCCTTTCAAAAGAAGTGTTGTTGAGCTTTCACGAAGAATAAGCATTACAGAAAGTAAACACAAATTTCTCTTATTACTGCAACACAAAAACAAAGCTACATATTGCATATTTCCCAAAGGTTTCTTCAAACACTTACAGTATGAGCAATACATTCTAAATTGGCAAATTCACAATGCACTATGTCCTTCACATAAAACCAAAGCATGAGAATGTGATTAAAACACAAGCCACACATTACTGATTAAATCAGCCAACTGCACAGGCACATGGTCAACTTTATATATATTCCAGAGGTCTCTGACATCTGTTTATGCTTACTGACACATAAGGCCACACTTGCTGTGCTTCTCCCCGTGTCTGTATTTGGGTCTGCTCCACAAACACACTGGCTGCTCAGCCGTGACATGCTGGTGGCTTTCTATTTTTAATCATGCAGTAGAGCTTACCTAAACTGAAAATGGGCAGTCATCAAATGAATTATACAGGCCCCTAATAAAATCTGATATCTCCCCCACGGCACATCTCATGCTCAGAAGAAATCTCTCATGCTCAGAAGAAATCTCTATCTATCTATCTATCTATCTATCTATCTATCTATCTATCTATCTATCTATCTATCTATCTATCTATCTATCTATCTATCTATCTATCTATCTATTGTGAGCAGGACTCACAAGACAGGATCCTAACTACCCTAGATAGATAAAACATGACAAAAAACAGAGGGACACACAGACAATATATTCATAGGATACAACAGAAATAGGATAAAACAACACATACTGAACCTAGACTGAAACACTTGACATAGAGACTGGACTACAGATAAATTACAGTTTTTCTCAGTCGCTTTGGTGCGTTTCTCAGATCAGAATTGAAATTCTCATAACTATTAGTTCAACCTCCACAACACTCAGTCATTTGTGCACATCATAGTAGCAATTTCTTCTCTCTCTGAACAAACTGCAAATGATTTTGGACATGAATCAGTTGCTTCCATACATTTCCCTGCTGCTTTCTGACATTTCCATTTGCTTATGTCATGTCAGTCAAACTAATCATACCTATGGATGCTGAATAGTCATTCCCAATAAAACTAATAGTCATACATCCATTGCTTGAGTCATCACACACAAAATTGTTGAACTAGTTATCACATGCCAAATATTGGCCATCTGTCAAGCAAATCCTATACCTTTCTGTATCATTTTCCCTGGAAATGTCTCCGAAATTGAACAATTGATCTCAGGTGAATTACAGCTGTCACTCATGAGGAGGC